GCCAAGGAAATGGTTCTATTATATCAAATCTCAGCTGAAAGTGATTACATTACATCTGTTCTGGTAAAACCATAGGTAATCAAGTTCCCATGTTGACTCACAACCTTGTACATCATAGGTAGTTCTGATAACGTTTCTTACTCTAGAATATTTTTCATTTCTTTGGTTTGTGTACTATGAAGTAACGTCTTATTCCTGAGATGTTGTGGTGGTGTTGCATTTCTTTTATTTTGTTTTGATGTATCCATCTCAGTGGAGCAGGTCTGTTACTCAGCTTGGTAGCTTTCCTGTGCTTAGTCTCTCACTTTCTGTCTTCTGGTATGTGTGTGTTCATTTGTGTTGTGCAATTGAGGGCAGCCTGAACTGGTATTGATTGTAGTCTGCCATCAATCATATGGTGTGGAATCAGCTGTTAGCTTTCCCTGGGTGTAAAGAAGCATATGTGGCTGAACAATGTGGACACTGTTGCCATCTCCTGTCATGTACGTCAGTGACTGGGAACAATGGAGTGAGGAAGGATGGGTAAAATTGGAGGAAAATCTGACTCAGTCTCATTGGTGTCAGTCAGAATCAAGTCACAGCCACCCCTTCATCAGGTATTCTGAGGCTGTAAGTAGCATTGCAGAAGATTGCCCAAGTCTCTCCCTCAAAGTCACTGGTGTATTTGAACCAGCAGGGAATCACTGCCTTTGCAGGGCAACTTCTTACGCATTGTACCACCAGAACTCACAGAGCAGGGGTGGGATACAAAAATAAGAAAGGGAAATAAGAAAATAAAACTGAAAAATACCAGGGATAGGAGAAATAGTAAAAAGAAAAGAAAAAAAATGAATAGGAAAGTGAATGAAAATATAATATGGAATAAGAAGAAAGAACAAGGAAAAATAGAAGCCAGGAATGGGACAGGAATAGGGCACCTCGATTGTGTTATCACTATAGGAGTTAGTGGAGGCAAGGTCTATGATTGAGTTTCTGATTTCCAATTGGAAACTGAGGATGGAACACCCTGACTGGGTAAATTCATGGCTATCCAAGAAATGGCCAATATCAGAGCATCAAGTCAAGAATGGAGCTTCCTCTGGCCCTAACGGTCTCCTGAGATATGGTGAATTGGTAGGTATGAGTTTATGCCAGTTCAGAGGTGAGGCACCCCTCCAGGAACATAATTTCTTCCAGTCTAGGAAATGCTTGGGGCAGGCTTCCTTGCCATGGGATAATATTTTTGTCAGTCAAAGAGATGGATTTGGGCATGATATCAATCAGGGATGTCACTTTGTTGGCCTTAAGAAGTGGAATGTGAGTATATTTTTCTATTTGATGGTAGTGTGTACTTGGGGTCAGATTTACAAGGATGGATGTCCAACCTCAGCACAACATGGTACACCCAGGATACATATGAGGGAGGCAGTTACCTCCATGGTTGCTGGAAAGGTATACAGTACAAGCTGGAAGTCACATCTTTCCTCTTGTCAGTGGTTACTGGTGTGGATACCAGTGTAGTCTTGGGTTCCTGACTCAATTAGAAAGATGTTTGCAAAAATTAAAAATGCCTATATTGTGTCAGGTCATTCACAATCCACTGTTTTGTTTAACTCATTATTAGATATTTTCATTTAGCTTCTTCTTTGAGTTTATATTTTAATAACTTCCTTATAATTTGTTTAAAGTTCAGGTTTTCAGGATTGTCATTCATGGGACTTTGTTGTAGAGAGCCTGATTCAGCTCCTACCCACTGTACCACCTTGTTGGAAATCCTCATATCACTTCTCTCCCCATTTATTCTTTCTCCACAAGTATCTGCCTCTATGATAGCACAGCATAGGATTCATCTAATTACTCAAGGTATAAAATCATTTTTGTATCCTCTCCTAAATACTATGTCCTCTTCTTGTTGTTGATTGCTGTTGAGTCAAGCATGACTCAACATGAACAAAAGACCTGAAGCCTTTCCGTATCATCATTTCTCCAAGTTCATAGAGTTTCCAGAAGCATATGGTTTAGGAAGTGGATACCTCTCTTGCTTCCAAACCTGTCTTAAACTGGGAGCTCCACCAAACACTGTCCACCATGGACAACCATTATCACATTTGACACCCCAATGGCACAAGGTTCAGCATCACAGCAAACCCAGATTATTTCAGTACAGAAAAAAACCAACCAAGCATTCTACATGATTGACAACTCAGAAGAAGAGTGCCCATCTTACAGAGTCCTGCTCCATTATTCAGTCTCCAAAATGGAGATGACGGGATTACTTTAAATACAAGGGCCCTCCAGGAGATCTTGTTGACTCAAAACAAGAGGCTTAAATTAAAAAAAAACAAAAACACCACCAAACCAAACCAACAACAACACCTAATAACCCAACATTCCACAAGACCAAAACTCAGAACAAGAGTGCCCATCTTACAGAGTCCTGCTGCATCACCCAGTCTCCTGGTCACCTAGTAGTGGCTAGAAAAAAGGAGAAAGTAGAAAATAGCCTTCATACAACAAAAGAACTATGAACCAGAGCACAAACATCCCAACTTTAATTGTCAAATCTAATACATACTTGTTGGCCATTCTTCCAGCACTATTTTATTGTTTTACTAGATCCTTCTAAGGCTTGAAGACATAGTTGAAGTGGCAATTTTGAGTTGGATTATCCTATGTGGTCTCATCCTTCCCTAAATTATAGCTTAAAACTATAAAATAGATCTATTTGGCAAATAAAAATGTATTTGAGGAAAACAAACAGGTTCATCCTAGAGAGGGTGAGACCAGGCTGCTCCTTAGAGGCAAGGATTCTGAAGCTTTGTCTGACATACTTTGGACCTGTTGCAAGGTGGGATTTGTCCTTGGAAAGGGACATCACACTTGTGAGGGTGCAGAGACAGTACAAGAGAGGAAGACCCTCAATAGGATGGACTGATTCAGTGACTGGGGTCATGGGAGTAGATGTGTAAGAAACAATAAGATTGGCACAGGATAGAGCAGAGCTTATTGCTGTTGTACATAGGGTCTCTATGAGTTATAGGAAACTCGATGGCGCATAACTACAGCAATAAACAACAATTGCTATACATTTGCATTTTTGTAGTTACAAATTTTCTTCTATATAGATTTGTGATGACCTCATATAAAATCTTTGAGATGATATTCCAATTCTCCATTCCTAGTGTGTCAGAGATGGTGAAGTTGGTTCAAGTTAGGGTAAGGTTCAGATCCATTGTTCATAGGATTGTTATGGGTCATCGTCAATTTGACAGCACATACCTACAACAACAACAACAACAACAACAACAGTACTATGTCTGGAATTTACTTCATTGTCTTTAAGTTGGTTCTGGCTCATAGCTCACTTCCCCTTGGGTTGCTAAGGTTGTAAATCACACAGGTAGAGACTACTCATCTTCTATCTCAGAGTTGCTAGTGGATTTGAACTGCCAGAGCAGGGCAGCAGTTCAACGCTCTACATAGCGAGAATGATTACCAACTAAGTTTGAACTCTATAACTAAAGTGTGAAATTTATTTCAATCTGTTTATTACTTCACTCTGATATTTGAGATTTCCCCAAAATATATTCTTCTTCAACAAATTGGTATACTTTAAGATAGCATTATTTTAGTTTATTTAACCAGTTTTACACATTCTTCCTTCCTTCCTTCACATTGATTAAAGTATCTTCATACAAGAAGAAAACATATTCCAGGTAATCCAAATCTATATTTCTAGAAAGATGCAAGAAACATATTAAAGATTAAGTAAGACAAGTTAATGTAAACAAACTTACCTCTGTGTTTGAAGAAAGAAGAAAACTTATGCTCAGAGATAATGAGTACTGACCTGGTAAGAATGGGAACTTTTACCTAATTTTTTTTTTCACCCATCGTAGAGCAAGAAAACATTTCCAAACGCATCTGGTAAGATTAGTTTGCCACTTGAAAATTTTATTAGTTAGCAAGATCTAAGTACAATCATCAAAATAGAGTTCTAAACAGTATAGACAGAAAATAAAATTATCTCCACATCTCAAATTAGCTTTATCTTTATATAACAGATAGAAATCTATATTTCTGCAGATGAAGTCAGGATCATTTTCAGAAACAGTTTTGCGAACTTGACATTAGGTCAGCACTTTGGTACGCTTTGTTTTAAAACATATTAATATGCATTGGAAAATATTTTATAAGTAACCAACTATTAATACATTTTACACTGAATTAATAGTAAATTATGTCATTTTAATTGCTAGTAACATATTATGAGCACCACTGAACAAATTACAGAAATCTCCTTGCCGCCCACAGAGGACAGAATCAAGTATATCATATCTAACCCAATACGTGTTAACTATGAAATCTAATAAAGTCAGTCAATATTCTCAAAAAGGTAGGGCTAGAGTCTTGATTTATGGCTGTCAGATTTCACACACAGTCATTCACTTCAAGTTGTCATTCAAAATCAAACATGATCTTTCTTTTTTTATTATTATTATTAATTTCAATGAACATGATCATTCTTTTTTTCTTGGCTCCATTTTGAGGAACCCAATGTCTTTTTAAGTTTTAAGATGACTATATATATAAAAGATTTCCTCTTATTCAGCAATACAATGTTGGTCTGTCACGTATTCTTCATTTGGAGAAACCACGTTACCTCTTCGTGTTTGTAGCATTTGATTATTCAGTAGGTTTTTATTTGGAGTACTATAGGGACAAGGCAGTTTCAACAATTAGAGAAAATATGTAGTTTCTGACTCACATAATGTTCTTTGTTTATCTCCTTTCTTTCCCCTCAGTTGGCTGTCTCTACATGTTTTACAAAGTCACCTTAAATAATGGACATGGACTGGTTTGTGAGATAGAGTTCTCATTTTTTAGTCATTTGTGTAAATAGAGATTAGTGATAGTGCTTTTAATCTGAGTAATGCTATGATTTCATTTTTAGATTGGTAGTGAGAGTAAAAAGGATGGTTCTGCATTCACAGAGCACATCTAGTAAATGAGAGAATATTTTAATTTCCTTTCAGGATGCCTATAATTGTTGCAAGCATTTCTGAGAATCTATCTAATAATTGCTTGAGTTTGGCATTGGAGGAGGTGGAAGACTCGGTTTGCTGTTGAACAGCTGTTGTTTGAGCAATGGCTGTAGAATTCTCTTGGTTTATGGGTGTAACAGTAGTTTTGGAACTATCTGGTGCAAGGGTAGCTGTAGGATACACAGCAGTTGTAGTGTCAGGTGGAGCTGTGGAAGACTGTGGTGCTGCTGTGGTTGGAGAGGGCTGTGGTGCTGTTGTGGTCGCGGGGGGCGTTGTTGCAGTTGGAGAGGGCTGTGGTGCTGCCGTGGTCGCGGGGGGCGTTGTTGCGTTTGGAGAGGGCTGTGGTGCTGCCGTGGTCGCGGGGGGCGTTGTTGCG